CTGTAAACATGTCTGACTGTAAACACGTCGACTGTAAACATGTCTGACTGTAATCATGTCTGACTGTAAACATGTCTGACTGTAAACATGTCCGACTGTAAACATGTCTGACTGTAAACATGTCTGATTGTAAACATGTCTGATTGTAAACGTCTGTGTGAAGATGGTGCCCTCTTGTGGCTGGTTTCTGCCCCTGCACTCCCTGGTGTGCCATTTTAATAATAAAACCGTCTCTGTGTCACATGCGTGTCCTGTCTAGGTGTTTGTGGTTTTGTCTAATTAGTCTCTATATATAAGTCTGCGTCTGTGTGTTATTCGTTGTCTGGGCATCATCTGGTGAAGTCTTCCTGAGTCCCTAGTGTTTCTTCATGATTTCTGTGTTTCTGGAGTCCGAGCTGCTACATCAGCTTGTTTATTTGTATTATTAAAGTGCTTTCATTTTACCATCTGGTCTACGAGTCCTGGCTGCATCTGGGTTTAACCACCGCACCAAATCCTGACAGTCTGCCTAGATCAAACTACAAACCCAGCAGGCGGATGACTTGGGCCGAGGACCTGGCCCAAGAAGAAGCTTGGACAGTCCAGGAGCGAGCGCAGACAGAGGAGTCTATCATCCAGTGGAGCGGGTTCCAGACCAAATCTATTTGGAGACAAGGACACCGCAGCTCATCCATCCATCCATCCATCCATCCATCCATCCATCCATTCATCCATTATTTTCCATTTGAACCAAAGTCAGGTTGCAGGGGCAGCAGCTTGAGCAGGGAGGCCCAGACATCTCTTTCCACAGCCTCCTCTTCCAGGTCTTCTGGGAGGATTCCAAGGTGTTCCCAGGCCAACAGAGAGATGTAGTCTCTACAGCGTGTCCTGGGTCTCCCACGGGGTCTCCTCCCAGTTGGACATGCCCAAAGCACCTTGCTATGGAGGCACCCAGGAAGCATCCTTACCAGATGTTCCTTACCAGATGATCCATCCTTACCAGACCCCCATATTTGAGGGAGTGATGGCGCAGAGGTTAGAGAAAATGGGCCTGTGAATGGAAAGTCGCAGGTTCAACTCCCGGTACCATCAACATCAAAATGTGGGTGGAAAAGGTGAAACACCCACACCTGCCTAGTGTTTTCCCTTTGTGCACTCCATCCTCGTGGTTCCCCACTTCTCCCACCCATGTTTTGGGCTGTGGGTTTTGGAGACATCAGGGGGACATCCGTGGAGGGAGAAACTGTGAGGATAATGCCCTCTTGTGGTTAGTTTCTGCCCCTGCACCCCCTGGTGTCCCATTCTAATAATTAGGCCTTCTTTGTGTCACCTGTGTGTCCTTTCCAGGTGTTGGTGGTTTAGACTCAGTAGTCTCTGCATGTGAGTGTTAATGTGTTATTCGTTGTCTGGGCATTGTCTGGTGAAGTCTTCCTGAGTCCCTAGTGTTTCCTCGTGATTTCTACGTGTTTCTGGAGTCCGTGAGTTCAGCTGCCACATCAGCTTGTTTATTTGTATTATTAAAGTGCTTTAATTTTACCATCTGGTCTCTGAGTTCTGCCTGAATCTGGGTTTAACCACCGCACCAAATCCTGACAGTCTGACAGTAAACACATCTGATTGTTAACATATTTGAATGTAAACATTTCTGATTGTAAACATATTTGATTGTTAACATTTCTGATTGTAAACATATTTGATTGTAAACATTTCTGATTGTAAACATATTTGGTTGTAAACATTTATGATTGTAAACATATTTGGTTGTTAACATTTATGATTGTAAACATATTTGGTTGTAAACATTTATGATTGTTAACATATTTGATTGTTAACATTTCTGATTGTAAACATATTTGATTGT